TATAAATTTTGTTGCAAAGAATCTAGTATATTTAATTTTTTGTTTGTGGATATTAGTAAAGAAAATGAAGAGAAACCGAAGTTTCTGTAACTAAATTAACTAAATTTAATATTAGTTGTAGTAAAAAGAAATCCATTATTTTTCCATTCAATTTCATGCAAAAATAATGGATTTCTTTTTACTACACCTAATATATGTGTGTATAAGTAAACAATATACAATAATATACAATAATTTTAATTATTTACATCTATAATTTAAAAAACTGCTTTTCCTTCAAACACTGAAAAAATAATGTAATATTAACAGAATTATTTTAATTTAAAATCTTGTTAATTCACACATCCAATAACATCATTAATAAAATAAATAAAATTTTATCAAAACAAGAACATGATGTATTTATTTCCATTAATAATGTTATTATGTGAATTAACAAAATTTTTAATTAAAATAATGCTGTTGATTATTTTTTTCAGTAGATATATAATCATTATAAAAATTCGATGCCTCACGCAGCAATGCAAATAGTATATCGATATACTTACTACATGCATTTATTTTAAGAAAGCATTAACTGCTTAGCGTAATTTTAGGTATCAAAAAAAAATAAAAATCCTTCGCCAGCGGATTCTTGCAAGCCGCATTTTTCGAACATGGATGAACATCGTCCAGCGACTATTCGGACGCAACAAAGCGTCCTCCGTGAATTCAAGCTTGATTCGTACGAATCGATGTACCACCATGTCAAGCGACGAAATGCGGAAGCGTGTCCTGTCTCGAGCGTCGCGATCTTTTCGGTGCGGCTCCATGTTTTGCGGACTCGGCGATACCATTGTCTGCTCCGTACAACGCTGTCGCGCGCGTTGACTTCCCGCAATTACGGCGATTGTCTCGATTTTTCCGCGTTTCCGGCTATCTCACGCGGCATCGCGCGCGAACACGAAGGAAGAGGGAGAGAAGGAGACAATGAAATAGGACAGAGTTGCGACTTCGCACGACGGCAAAGACAGTTTTCACATTAATAACGGAGGAAGCTCGATAACGTCTGGCGGAGGTAACGGGCGTTACGCGGAGACGGAAAAAGGCGCTCGATAGCGCGAGCCATCTTGTTTTTATAATTAATCGCCTGTCGCCCGGTTGAAGCGTCAGACTTTTTACTCGTCGATTATGGATCGCGCTTTTGGTCTCTTCTGGCAGCTCGTGTGTCACCGCTGATGCATTATACCGCTTATCATAACCTCGATTTATACCAATTAGCGTAAGCGACACATAATGCTCGCGCGTACCTGATCGATCCGAGAATCACTGACGTCGATAACATGAATACAATTTTTTAATAAAACCGATTGCTCTATTATCCTTATTCTTTCTCACAACATACTTATGGCTTTCTCAAGATGCAATTCTAAATGGATCTATCCAGATATGTGTAGAGTATCTTTCCCCCCGGAGATCCATCCCACGAACAAATTCATCAGCTTTTAGGAAATTTATCTTCGACTTATCGCGCGCGTTACATCACACATTACGTACATCTTATCTTTCTACCGCTCTTGAGTTCTTTCGGGATCATGTAATGCTTGGAGAAATGACTTTTGATGGATGAGGCTCGCATTAATAATCCAACTGTCGCGAGAGCGCGAATCGATGAAAGAAATAATCAATAAAAAGAAAGACAAAGATACAGTAAAAAAAAAAAAAGAACCGAAATAGAAACAAAGGATATTAGGTACAATCAGAGATAAACGAGGCTAAAGTCCCATTTGAACAATACTATAACAGAAAATAACGGTGCAATACTGGTAAGTTAAGTACTATAGCATGTAGCATCAGAAGAGTGAGAACATGGACAAATTAGGACATTGAAACCTCGTAATAACTAATTCGAACTTCGAATTAGTGCACAAAAACCTCGAATTATCCCTTTCTGGCAATGTAGTTTAATTTTAATCTTGATTCAACTAACTCTTTTTCTAGTTTTAAGAAGTAAAAGAAGATAAAGAGTAAGTTAAACCGAGATTAAAGTTAATCTACAATGATAGAAATGGGTATTAGACGTATGTAAGTAGCGTGTCGCGCGCACACACGCGCACGCACGCGCACACACACACACGCGCGCGCGCGCGCGCGCACACACACACACACTACACACACGCGCGCGCGCGCGCGCGCGCGCATCAACAAGACTTGAATTTCATAGTTTAGAAATGAAATGATAACAACAAACCTCGTTATTACGTTTAGAACCTCAAAAAACATGCGCTACTTCAATATAAATATACATATAAATATTTAAAAATGCATAAATAACAAGATCAGTATCAAGAAAAAAAAAGAAAAGTTAATGAAAGAAACATTAATAACCGATCTTTAAAAAAGGGAAATCAACACAAGGTGAAGATAAATGCGCAGAATGCAAAGATAAATAAAAGATAAAAGGAATGATGCGTTAAATAAGGAGAGTCTAATATCAGAAATAGAATAGGAGAATAAAGAGAATAGTAGAGAAGAAGGCAAAGAATAAAAGAAAGAGCGACGAAGATTGGACGAACACACTTTCTATAGAAAAGAAAACAGCAGTGAGGTCACTCTTATCGTCGTTTCCATACGCACGTACGGAAAACGGTCGTCTTATCTGGCGTTTCCATGAATAATTTAAAGAGCTTCGCGTACTGAAAACTTCTACTCTATCGGCGAGAGAGAGAGAGAGAGAGAGAGAGAGAGAGAGAGAGAGAGAGAGAGAGAGAAAGAGAACCAAGCATACAGAGTTATCCGTCGGTCTCATCTCTCGATCTCTTTTCATCTCATGAGAGAGAGAGTATAGAAATGTTGATGCGTCTAGGGGAATGCGAGGGAGAAGCCAAGAGGAGAGCAAAAAAGTCGTTGGGGAGAATAGAAAGTGGTGGTAAAAACCAGAGGGAGCAAGCGAAAAGAAAATGAGAGCAAAAGACACGGTGGAAAAATAGCTGTGAACGAAGAAAGCTGCCACCTTCTCCCTGTGCTCCACTTTACTGTGGCGTGAGAGAATAAAACGTATACCGAAACGCTTATACAATTTTGTTTACGCGGTGTCGCGTCGCTCGAATTCAATGTGACGTGCAACAACATGGTACAGGAATTGTAATTGGCTATAATTAATTGAGTGACTCAATGCCTAACGTCCATGATATATAGATGCAGGTGGCTGATCGTATATATGCACAGAATCGTATCTGTTTCGCTCAAGCAGGTCTCGTGCACACGAGTGTCTTACATTCTGTAGTTTGTCTCTTATAATCATAAATAAATTTTCTACAGAGGAAGAGATTTAAGGATGCAGGTGTATAGATTCCATGAAAAAGTGACTGGAATTGGAAATTTATGCTTTGCGTATAGAAATGAATGTTATATACATGTTCAATAAAGTTAATATTTATAAAATTTAATAATACAATTTTATAATTTAAATAAAAATGTTTTTATTTTATCTCAATTATCTTTTAAAATATCTATTTCTTATTGAAATAATTTTTGATTCAGGTTCTAAATCGCCAAACTTTTGAATTATTTTCAAATATAATATAGAAAAATTTATAATTATTTCATAATTTTTCTTTTTTATTTTATAAAATACATTCTTAAGTAATGCGAGATAGATCTGTCAATTTTAATTTTCTTATATATTAAATTTTCTTCACTAAAATATTAAGATTTGTTTTAAAGATTTTATATCGTGTCAACAGCACATTCGATATTTTATATACAAAGAAAGTTTCTTTCCAATAACAAAATATGTGAAAAGTCTATCTGATAACGCACATTTCATTTTCTTTATCTATTATTTTACTACATATTTATAATATTTTCCTTTCTTATTTATTTTCTTTTATATTTTTCTGAAAGCTTTTCATTCCTTTTGATATTCCGCGAAATCCAGATATGATTGCGACCTGCATTCTTTATTGTTGACAAAACATAAAAAGCATATTGCATACCTTTTTTGAACAATAAAAGATATGGTTTTGTGTTGAACTAAATTTGCAGAGCACGCGCGAACATATGCAGTAAGTATAATAGGTTGATTCTGCAAGTCCGCGAAAAAAAGGATAAAAAAAGGAGTAAAAAGCATGACTGGGACATAGTTTATCTTGATCCTTTTTTTTTTAACTATCATAATATCGTGATAATTTGTGCCGCGATGCCATTATCAATTTCAGGATTTCGGTTTGATTTTCTTCTTTTCTTTTATATTCATATTACTGTAAATATGATACGGCAATATCGCGACGCAATATCACAAAAACGAATGATATTCCGCCACAATGCTTAAATTAAATTTTATTATTCACCGATATAATGACGTTTCCAACAAATAATGGAATCTGTACCTATATGCCGTAGACCATTTATTTAAGCTAATCGGGAGTCAAGATTGTTTGGTGAATGCAATTTTTGGGCGAGACGAAAAATGCATTCTTCACAGTTGTCATCACTCTAAAGTTTCGAAGGTTTATATCGACTCGCTCTGGGCTCTCTCTCTCTCTCTTTCTCTTGTATTTTTCTAGTCGCAAATTCGCCTGTGTCATCCTCGATAACTTGAATGCGCAATGACGGAGATTTACTTTTGTAACCATTAGTACGAAAAACGTTGGTTTGGAACATAACATAAAGTCGCGCTGATACGTGATATAAAAGCAAACGTGTGCTTCTCAAATTACATTGGCGTTTCTCTCTCTGTGATGATAGAGAAAATTAACGATGCACTTGCATATCACGAAGCAAAGAGAGAATCGAATTGCAGACGCGTTCTGGCAGGGCACAAGGATAACGCGGCATTGAGAGATCCGATCGAGAGATCCGATATTATCGAGATATGACACCACAAATATCCATTAAATACGTATATTCGCGAGAGATACGCTTGCAATTACGCAAACAGCTGAATCGAGAGATGGAAAAAAAATCGAATGCGCAAAATATCCAATCAAATATCGTTAATAAAAAAAATCACGACTCACCCAGCGTGCAGGAACATGTAGAAGGCAAACCTCCAGAGTTCGAGCCGCTTGTCTGGTCTGTAAATAAAGACACTGTCGATCGGCACCGGCCCAGAGGGATTCACTTCACCCATCGCTACTGTATAGTACGTGAAGAAAGCAAGCTGTAACAAAAAAATAGAATCAAAAATAAATATCGAGGTAGATATGTAATAATGATTAAATGAAGGAACTCCGCGATAAAGAGAGAGAGCTTCACAAATATTAAATTTATTAAAGTTATTATCAAAAAGGAAGTACTAAAAAAAAGCAACAAGTGCATTATATTTTAAAAAAATACAAAATTATTACTTCTGTTATAATTTTCTAATTTTATATATCTATGTATACAAAACGTGGAAATACTAAATTTTATACAGAAACACATAAATTTTATATATATCTGTTATGATAATACTAATATCCTTAAAACTTGGTAACTTATTTCTTATTTATTTCAGTTAATCTATAATTTGTTATGCTATCATTTTTAAGATAATATTTTGCCAACAAATTATTCTGCCTGAAGTCTAATGTTGTAAACGTTTTCTTAGATAATTTGTTCAAGTAGTCTTTTTCCCCATAAAAGAATCGTAAATGACCAGGCAGAAAAAAAGTACAGAAAAACATCAAAGAGGAAAAGAAAGGACTGAACAGCGTGTTAAAACAAGTAAGATTACTCGAACTACGTGGAGTATTTAGGGTGCGTGTGATGAATTAGTCACGCAATGCAAAAGTAAACGATGCGTGTTTCATATGGAAATGCGCGTCCCAACTTTGCGCTATGTTAATAAAAATGAATCATTTCTCCCTCATGACATTTAGATGTTATTAACAGATCTTGATATGAAGCGAAAGTTATTAATATTATCAGTAGAAATTAATTTCTCTCGTATGGTATAAAGAACATTATTCGATATGATCATAAAAAAATTATTATATAAGTACAGCAATCAAGATTTATTTTAAACAAGATGATAAATCGAGATAGAAATTCATTCAGCGTTGCAAATTGCAAACTTTAAACATGTTTAAACATTTTATTAGAATAAAATTTGACAATTTTGGTACTGTGTATTTTGTAAACTATTTCCTATATACATTCAAGTATTTAAATAATATTTCCAAATAATATATACTCACAAATTATCAAATAATAAACACATACGACATACAATGGCTACCAAAAGTTTCTGATCAAGAAATAATCATATTACTCAGATAAAACATTTTTATAAACAAAGATCTAGGATGTAAAAACTTAATATATATTGTAGTAAAATATATTTTTAACTTGATTATATAACAATTGAAATTTTATTAATTTATAATATAAACTGCTGAAAAAAACAGATTGACAAAAGTTATCGTAAAATTATATGTTGGTTGGACATTTTTGGT